TTATTGTGAATTATGTGATGGTTTACATGGGAGAACATTAGCTTTACAGTCATCCTATCATATATCATTTCATTGCCATGGTTACAATCCTCTCCATGCATCATCAACCAACTAAAGGGTATACCCTGCAAGCCTGCTCCCTGGTCGTCAGCACACAGCCCTCCTCTTTCTCTCTGGGTCTAGAGTCCCCAGCACAAATATATACAGGTTTGACAGAGGATATGTCTACAGTAGCATAGTGGTTACGAATTGGGCTGTGAACCTAAAGGTCAGCAGTTTGAAACTACCAGCTGTTCTGTGGGAGAAGGATGAGGCTTTCTGCTCCTGTTAAGATGTATAGCCTCGGAAACCCTGTACAGGGTCGCTATGAGTCAGAACCAACTCCAAGGCATATAACCACAACCATATACATATATTTACCTAAGCTGCAAACGTAGTCATGACTCTAGTACAGTGTACAAAGGCAAACTTATGAAAACTCCTTAACCCTAACCAAACACTTTGAGGAAATGAATCACTGGGCCTTGGAGCTCAGTACCATTGTCTTGGGAGACACCAAAGTTAATTAGCATACCATAGTCCACAAGGCAATGTTCTTACATCCTACTTTGGTGAGTACATATTGGGGGTTTTAAAAGTTTGTGAGCACCACAATCAATGCCCATAGAAGCAGCAGTAAACAAATAACATATTGCACTGGGCAAATCTACTGTTAAAGACCTCTTTGGAGAAAAAGGTTTGCCTCCAAAGGTGGTGTTTTCAATTGCCTCATAGGTGTGTGAAAGCTGGACAATGAATAAGGAACACAGGAGAAGAATTGGTGCCTTTGGATTATGATGTTGGTGAAAAATACTGTAAGTACAATGGACTGCCATAAGAACACACAAATCTGTCTTAGAAGAAGTAGAGTCAGATGTTCCTTAGAAGGCAAGATGACAACACAACACTTCCTCTTAAGTACTTTGGACATGTTATCAATAGGGGCCAGTCCCTGGAGAAGAGCATTATGCCTGGAACAGTAGAGGGTCAACAACAACAACAACAACAAAATAAGGAGGATCCTTACGGAGGTGGAGTGACACAGTCGATGCAGCAATGGGCTCAAGCATAACAACAATGGCGAGAATGGCACAGGGCAGGTTGTATTTAATTCTGTTGATTTAAGGTTGCTATCAATCAGAACCAACTCCGTGACACCTAATTAACCACCAGGAGGAATGTGACTATGTGTTCAATACATTACATTTTAGATCCTTTTTATATAACTTTTTATGTCAAATATCCTACAATAAAAAATTTTAACTCCCTCCCACCCCAAAGAAAAGTTTGTGAGCAGCCCTCTAAGATGCAACTATTTGTCTCTCCCCATCCAGAGCAAAGAGGCGTGAAGAAAATGGAAAAAGGAGGAAGTGGGATAAGTGATGTTACGAGGTAAGTATTGCAATCAATGACATGAAACAGGATTGTGTATAAATTATTGAAAAATGGAATTTGGTCTATAAACCTTCACCCCATTCACAATAAAAAGTTGCAAAAAAATTCAGTCTCTGAAAGCTAGATGAATAAATGATTTTATTCTGATTATGCCGTGGAGTCGGTTTCAACTCATAGCGACCTTGTACAGGGTTTCCGAGGCTGTAAACCATTATGGGAGCAGAAAGCCTCATCTTTCTCCCGCGGAACAGCTGGTAGTTTCAAACTGATGACCCTGAGGTTAGCAGCCCGATTCGTGTATGTATATATATATTAATTTTTTTTTTTTTTTAAATAACATATCACAGCATATGTTATTTATCAACATATCACAGCCCAAGTCTAAGGTTTGTGGTCTCAATTTTCTTGCAGGGGTTCTTATAAACAGGATGACAAAACAAGGACTACACTAAGGTTGGGCACAGTATGTTGGATTTCAGTAAAATTACTGAGATCCCTGTCTTCTTTGATTTCTAAATTCCAGAGTACTCACCACTTAAAACTTATTTATTTATTTATTTTTAATTAAGGGTATAGGGAAGTCTCAAAGGTTAAGTGTGGAGTCCTGGTGTGGTGCTGTGGGTTACTGCACCAGACTGCAAAGCCGTTTGAACTGCAGGGTTGGCAGTTCAACTTCACAAACTGCTCCTTGGAAACCCTATACAGGGTCGCTATGGGTTGGAACCAACTCGATGACACTTAACAACACCAACAGGTAAGTAGAGATATTCTCAAGTATGAAGCTAAATTTCCAGAGACAGGCAAAGTGGGGGTGTAGTTTGCTATTTGTCTGTTTCTGGAAGTTCCCGGCTTCTTAAATACAACCTGTCTTATCAGTTATTTTGCCCATGTAAGTCAGTAAAAGACAACAAGCATCTCATTGGATAGATACATTGATTCTGACTCCCGGTAAACCCATGTGTGTGGGAGTAGAATTGTGCTCCACAGGATTTTCAGTGGCTGTCTTTTTTAGAAGTAGATCCCCAGGCCTTTCTTCTGAAGTGCTTCTGGGTGAATTCGAACTGCCAATCTTTCAGTTAGCAGCCAAATATGTTAACCATTTGTGTCGCCCAAGGACTTCAAACACAAATATAACATACAAGGGGGTTTCAAAAAGTTCATGGGAAAATTCCACTATCTCTTAATTCCATTTTGCAATGAACTCTTTGATATCCTTTTGTGTAAACATAAAAACGGATCACAACCTACTTAACTAAAGTCCCTCATTACACACACACAGCACACACACACCATTCCCTTTGTTACACATTTCACTGTAACAAAGGCAAAGACAAATTAAGAGAATACTTACAGTACCATGGGATATGGTCAGAAAACCATTTTTAACTGAACACTTCCTTTTCTGCCACACTTTTCGGATCCTTAAAGATGAAAAACAACACCAAGAACAAAATAAGAATTTAGAAATTCTGGACAAATGAGATCATAAATCTCAAACTATAAATCTAGCAACACCATCTCACATACCCATCACTTTTCTTGTAGAGGTTGCCATTCCGTTCTGTTCCATGTTCTTTGTTTCCCTGAGGTTGATGTAAGCTATAGGCTGTACTCTGGCGAATTTGTGAATCCTTAAAAAATGATCAATAAGTTATTTTAATCCTATTCTGATGTAAATAAGGAAGCACATGCCTTAAATAAACAAACACAGTAGATACATTTCTCATCACACCAAAAAAGGACATAAAATTAATATATAAAACTCATAAATGTCATTTTTAGGCTAGAGGGAGAAATATAAAAAATCAGTATCCCTAACCTTGCCTGAACAATGAGTCTTTTAGTAGTTATAAAACTTTACTTAATCATGAACCTCACTGTTGTGGTTGAGTGCTGTTGAGTCAGTTCTGGCTCATAGTGATCCTGTATAGGGTTTCCAAGGAGTGGTTGGTGGGTCTGAATTGCTGACCTTACACAGTTAGCAGTCCAGTGCTTATCCTACAGTGCCATAATAGGACTCTTTAAGTCTCTGATGATGACAAGAAGTTTCTAAGATGGCATAATCAGCCCTCAAGAAGGATGCTAATGTGATATGGTGGAAAGAATAAGGGTTTCAAAGAAGGGGTTAAAAGAACCTCAGGCTCTCCCTGTGACTATAGGCAAGTTTCCTCAGTTATAAAACAAGGAATGCATGACTTAGGACAGCAAATGATAAGTGTTAAATGACTGGTGTAGAACAAATATTCATTATCTAAGATAAAAAGGGCTGTTGCACTGAGCCTACTTGCTTCAAATCACTGAATAAGAAGAGTCTCTGTTAACTAAAACTACTATCCTACTTGGTCAGCTAAGGAGCTCCGGTAATGTAATGGATTATAAACTGAATTGCTAATTGCAAGGTCAGCAGTTCAAATTTACCAGCCGCGCTGTGGAAGAAAGAAGAGGTTTTCTGCTTCTATAAAGTTTTACGGCCTTGAAAACCCTATACAGGATTGTCTTGAGTCAGAACCGACTCCATGGTGCACATAGGCACCACCACCACTGGGTCAGCTGAGAATCTGGCTGAGTCTATCAAAACAGCAAGCTCCAACTTATCAGCTTCTTGAATACAAAGATCATCAAAGAATTCCCAACAAATAAGCCCAGTATCTGGTATTCAATTGGTATTCAACTGGTGGTTAGCAAATAATACTATTAGAAATCCTGAGCAGAAGGTAGAAAGGGGCCACTAGTGCTAGTAGCGGGAAATTCTGGGCAGACAGAAAGAAAGGCAGGGTGAGCACGATGTGAACAGATCCTTCTCACAGGTCAACTAAGTGAGGGCCTTTACCTGTTTACTGAAAACCTCCAATCAAGTTCACATCCTAACAGAAGCAACAGACACAATGAAATCAAGAGACTTGCTTGATTTCAAGGTTCAGAGCTCACTAAAATCAGAGCAGAAAACAGAACTCAGGTGCACCTATTTCTAATGCTCCTTCCATTGTGCCTTACTGCCTCACCAAAGTATACCCTGAAAGACTAAGGGTGACTTCATCTCTACCATCAAGAAGCTAACCATCACTGGGTAAACTAACACATCCCCAAAGAATGAAAGAACTAACATGTGATTCAAATGGAGAGTATACTACTTAAGGAGTAAATAGTCAAATGAAAAAAATCACAGGAGTGTGAAATAAGAAGAAACATTGTAACTAAGATAAAAGGAGCCAGATAGTAGAAAAGCCAGGCCAGAGCCAAAGTTCAGACTTTGTTTAAAGTCAACAGCAAGCCACTTGTTCTTGACAGTTTAAAAATAATGTGAGTTTATATATACATATATATGTTGTTGTTAGGAGCCGTCAAGTCAATTCCGACCCTGTATAGGGTACCCAAGGAGCAGCTGGTGAGCTTGAACCACTGACCTTGTGGTTCAAACCAACTTTGCAGTCCAGCACATTAGCCCATAGCGCCACATCAGGACTCCCCTCCCCTCCCCTCCCCTCTCCTCACCTCTCTCTATATATATAGTGGTGGTGGTTATGTGCCGTGGAGTCAGTTCCGACTCATGGCAACCCTGTACATGGTTTCCAAGGCTGTAAATCTTTACAGGAGCCGAAAGGCTCATCTTTCTCCTGTGGAACAGCTGGTAGTTTCGAACTGCTGACCTTGAGGTTCACAGTCCAATTTGTCACCACTACGTTACCAGAGCTCCATATATATATGTTATTAATATGGAGTTCTGGTGTAATGCTTTAGGATAATATATTTATATATATATACACACTTCACAGATGATGAATCATTCTAAAGAAGAATCTGGAGTTTGGAGAACAAGTTTTAGGAAGAACTGTTGTTAAGTGCCTTGGTTGTTGTTGTTGTTGTTACGTGCCGTCGAGTCGGTTCCGACCCATAGCGACCCTGTACAGGGTTTCCGAGGGTGTAAATCTTTACGGGAGTAGAAAGCCTAATCTTTCTCCCGCGGAGCGGCTGGTAGTTTCAAACCGCTGACCTTAAGGTTCACAGCCCGATTCGTAACCACTACGCTACCAGAGCTCCTTAAATGCCTTGGAGTCAGTTCTAAATCATAGTGACCCTGTATAGGGCTTTCAAGGAGCGGCTGGTGGGTTAGAACCACCAACCTTGCAGTTTAGTAGTCCAGTGTTTATCCTACAGTGCCACACCAGGATTTCTGGGAACAATTAGACTTGATGGCACTTTAACACCAACAACCAAAAATCTTCTGAAGCCACATTTCCATTTGGAATTATTAACCATAAGCTTTGGAGAAATGCTTATTACATAAAATTGTCATATATCATTGAGAGTGGTATTAGACATCCTGCAGCTAAGAACCCTGAGTTGGGGAAGAAAGAACTGGTGAGCTCTGGTGAAGTACCAGAGTTGAAATGGGTAAAAGAAAAGGAGGGGAGTAAGACATAAACCCCACTGAATAGTTTCCTTTTGTCAAGATGGGTCTGGTGATCAGAGGGATAGGATTTTCTGATTCAATTGTTAGTAACTGTTATCAGGCTATTGTCACAACTATAAATGTAAGAGGTGTAACTAAAAAGGGGGAGCAGATTATCTGCTATTTCAGGAGCAGAGGACCCTAGGATCATCAAAGGGGAAAAGAATGAGAGGAGCGAGGGATCTTAATCAGAAAACAGTGACAACAAAGATTGTGGCAGAGGCTATGGCATAGAGAGACAGAGCAGCAGACTATAGGCCCATGGACTGAGAAAGACAGTGTGGCTGTAGGCAGGAGGCTGGCTTGCAAAATGTTCCATTTGGACATTTAAACAAATATATATTTGCAGTGTGGTAGGCGTATATATATAAAAAAAAGTATTAGAGGTAAATACTGTTAGCTGATGGTGCATGGAGGGGATTATAATCATTATGGTGATTTGCTGAAAGTAAAATTGGTAATCTACCCTGTAAACGTTCACTCACTCGATTCACAATAAAAGTTAAAAAACAAAAACTAAAGGAGGGAAAAGGAAGATACAATTACTGCCAGATCAATCCAGAGGCACCACACTGGAGGGGTAACAGTGACAGAAACAGTTACATTGAGAAGGGGACTACTTTATATGGGCATAAGAAGAAGGAACAGAAAGAGAGCTCAACTGAAACTGACTGAGACTTTTCATGATTTTGTAGGTCAATAAACACTTATTAACAACACACAACAAACACTTCTTGGGGGTCCTGGTATGGCACTGTAGGATAAGCACTGGACTGTAAACACAAGGTTGGCAGTTAAATCCATCAGCCTTTTCTTGGAAACCCAATACAGGGTTGCTATGAGTTAGAACCAACTCGACAGCACTTAACAACACTTTTTGAGTGACTACATCTAAAGTTGGGGTATCCTATAGAAATGAACCCTTGAAAATCATCCCATGCAATTTAGTCTTTTGACAATTTAGTCTTAGAGTATCTCCTTTATTCTGGACATTGCCTCCTTTACCTGATTTAGTATTTCTATATATGTCGTTTTATCCCCCCACCTTGAGCAGATACCAAATAGTAAAGACTTTCTTAAATTTAAAATAACTTTATTGAGCTATAATTCATACACTGAAAAATCACACTTTTAAAGTACATAAATCACAGCTTTTAGAATATTTATAAAATTGTCCAGCCATTATCACAACACATTTTAGAACATTACCCACAAAATAAATCATACAAGGGGACTTCAAACAGTTCAAGGAAAAATTCCATTACATTTTAATTCCATTTTTCTACAAACTTTTTGAAACCCCCTTGTATAAACGTATAGACACATATAACTCACAGTTTTCAAATCAGAGAGTTGGAGTCTTTTAACTTTATTCTTCTTTTTCAAGATTCTCTTAGCTACTCTGGGTCCTTTGTATTTCTATGTTAATGTGAGGATTAAATTTCTTATCAATTACTGCAAAAAAGCAGTTAGAATTTTGACACGGATTACACTGAATCTGTAGATCAATTTGGGGAGTCATTTAATCTAAACAATAATATGTTTTCTAATCCATGAACATGAGATGCCTACCACTGACTCTTTAAACTCTACAACATTTATCAGAGAAATGCAAATAAACCCCTTTATGTGAGCAATCAACAATGTACTTTGTTGTTAAGTACCATTGAACCGGTTCCAACCCATAGCGACCCTGTATAGGGTTTTCGAGAAGCATCTGGTGAGCTTGAACCACCGACCTTGTGGTTCAAACCGACTTTGCAGTCTAGCGCATTAACCCATAGTGCCATAAGCACACCATTATTAATTTGACAACAGATCCTAAGCAAGCTGACACAAAATGAGGGAAATGGTCTCATTTCCCACAGAGAGTTCACTTACACCCATGTCTCTGGGACAGGATGGCAAATCTTTCAAAAAGGCAGTATGTCAGCACTAGAAATTTAGAGTGAACCAATTAAAAACATTGCTAGGAATAAATGTAGTCAGTAGAAGGTAAGTAGAGAAGTACTGCTCACTTACATGAATCTCTGTGAATGACTAAAAGTAAACCTGTCAAAAGACTAAATTGCATGCCAAGAAATAAGTCTATCGATCTGGGGAAAAAAAAAAAAATCCTGCATTAAATAAATGGTGAAGTCATGGGACTACTGGTAAAAGTGATCATGCCAAGCATATTTA